GTTCATTGCCCGTGTCAATTTCGAAATGCACGGGAAGCTGGTTAACACAAAGCAGCACGCAAAACGACGTTTGTGCACTTGAGGTAGTTGTGTTAAGTATCTATTCCTTTCGATTAGTAGCAGCAAGCTGGTTGTTTACTACCGGGGAATATCGATTTGTACTGGACCGGCACATACCTGCCAAGTGTCCACGTTTTTGGCATTTGTTACCATCTGTCTGTGCATGTTTGCATTCTCTAAGATGACGGTGCCGCAAGCCACAGCCGTAACAGTTGAACAACGGTGTAGTGTTTTCATGAACTTTGTTGGCTTCGGCCGTGTCATCTTCATCATATGTCTTTGAATTGAGCTGTAAATTCTGTAGAAGCTGGGCATAAGTTTCAGCAGCCTCCAGGCCCCTCGCAATTTCATAGGCCCTTTCCAATGTTAGTGCGTTATAAGCCAACGGGCAGCGATGGATGCGAACGTTTTTCACGCGAACCACCGGACGAAAACGGATCATGTCCTTTCGGTGGTTACCGAAATCACAATATTCTATCAACTTCCGAAGCTCGACCACGAAGAATGCAACTGACTCCCTCTCACCCTGGACTCGGGAGTCGAATAAAAACGGCTGCGCAATAGCTGATAGTTTTTGATTATGGTGATTGGAAACCAGTGTGACTAGTTCAGTAAATTGTTTGGTGCCTTGCAAATCGGGAACCACCAAGCTGCGAATTAACTCATATTTTTATGAGCCACAGCTACTCAGTAGGATATTCACATTGTCGCTAACGTTTTCGTTAGCAGCGTATACAGTTCATACGCTAGATGCAATGGTTCCATGAACCGGATCCCTCCGTGTGTCCTACCCAATTCCCGATGGAGGCCATAGGGTCGATAAATCGTCACGAGCATTGTTAGTGAGAATACGGAAATGCAAAGGACACAGCTGTAATGTGTACACAATACGAAGTCACTGGTTCGCTGAATGACATGGATATTTATTCGCGCACTTGAGTCATGTGAATGGCCAGACAGACCATGACTTGGGATACCCAATCACAACAATCACAATGCGATCTGCCAGCATTAAACCGTCGTGCACTATTTTACGGCATCTTTACACACAAAATATGGTTTCACTTCATCGTCTGATAGAATTCTTGGCCAGCCGTTGCGAAGATAAAAGATGACTCGTTGTAAACAGCTATCTGATCGCTTAGACTCACAAATGTCATTGTAGGTAAGTGATAATTTTTTAATGGATTCCCCAAAAAAAAATTTTATGTCAGCATCAAGCCAAACTGATGAAATGACCGTGTCCTCACATGGCTGCGAATTTGATCTGTTAGCCATCAGGCGATAAGGCGTCAACATGGCCAAAGCATTCCGGACATGTGATTTTACACAGGTGAAGAGAGGTTTTCAAATAGCTCCATCTTGTCGCACCACTTAGAGTAAGGTCACGCTGGTTCGCAAAACGAGTTCATGGTCGTGGCCAGCTGGATGCCGTTGTCACAGCTGTTGTGTAACGTCCTCCGAGAATCAAAGGAAAGTTTGGGCTGCTGTCTGGACCGATTTGCCTAGAAGATAACATATTATTTACAGGGCAAACTACGCTTCCTTAAGTGATTCCGATTTGGTCTTTCTTGGTTGGCTGACTTTGGCAGGTTCATCGATCGAGACAATAGGTCTTGCGGGCCTACAAGGCGATTCTCACTCATTCGTGTTAGCATAGCGGCTCGGCTGGAGGCGGACAATAGATCACGAGTGGCCACTTGCCTATTCGTTCCGAATGCGTAGTCGAATACCAACAGTTGCCATTACAATGCTCATAGCACAACCCTGCTATTTACAGTATGGGATCATTAGGTTTAGTAATTCCGTATGCTCTTCCGCTGCGCGTCCTCTTTGTGTCTTCTCCGGCAACTCTGCTTTCCTACTGATTTGTCGTTCGCTCGACTTCACACTCCTTGTTGGTTTCGCCGATACAAACCGTTTCCCACCCTGACTACATAACTTCTTTCTTCCACCTACGTTTTCACAACTTCTCTCTTCCGCCATTTTACTGCTGTAGGCACCAGTTGTGTCCACACCACTTCGCCGACCCGAAGTGGTGTTAAGGTTTTAGATCCGCGGTCATAATACCGTTTCTGCCCAAGCATTTCTTTTTTACAACGGCCACGCATCATCGTCGGGGACTGCGTTTCCGGTTGGAGCAGGATTCTGGCCACGAGAAACAAAGTTCTCGTTCTGCGTCTAAATAAACGGTAAACGCAGCTCACTCGGATTTTCGGAGACAGAGAGTTTCTTACTCTCTCTGGATGGTCAAGTTTGGACTTAACGTTGTATGATTGGATTGCGACGCGCAATCTCAATGTAATGGACTGTGATTCACATTGAAATGAACCTTAGTCACTGCGATCGCTGGGACCGTATTCAAAGTAGATGGAAATTGGGTATTGCACACCCGAAAACACTGCATAGCCACGACGCGTTTCGATGTAATTTCATCTCATCAGGTGGAGACAGCAGGCCTCGATCCTGCGACCATTGGAATAGTAGCCAAAACCTCTACCCCTTTGCGTTGCATAGACTTTGGGATTGGCACCTGATTTACTTTGCAGATCAAACTGTCTTGTACAAGGAGTTCATCACGAAAACTGGGAAACGGTGTCAGTCACGCCGGCAAGCTCCTCTTATCCTCTGGTCATCTATCAGCTAATGTCCGTTGGTAAATTTCGCAAACTGCATCTTCCTCTGTGCAACGTCACAGTCGTTGTAATAGCTCTCCGGTGACGGATGGTTGCTGTGTCGCGTGAACCGTGTCGGGGTTCTCTTGCATTGCACATGCATTCGAGAGATGGGCTCTCTAAAACGCGTCTGTGATGTACATTTGCTTCTTAGGCTGCTAGACTATTTCTCGATGGTATTTAAGAAGCCTGATGAGCATCCGCTAGAGACGACACGACACAACATGGAGTGGCTTTTTGACGATTGATATCAATGGCGTGTGACCTGTATATACTGTGGTCTGTTGCCCAGAAGTGTAGTCAATGAAACGTTCGACCGTATTTGTGATTGTGAACATCTCCTTCTCATTTTGTGCATAACGAAATTCGGCTGGTGGCAAACTCTTAGTTCGACAATCCAAAAGTTTCCCGTTTTAGATCAACATCGCTCCAATTCTATGCTGATTGCTACCGCAGAGTACATCGAGAGGCAAAGATGGTTAAAATTAAGCAATAATTGGAGCAGCCACGATCAAATATTTTAATCGAGTGAAGACTTTTCATGTTTGTTATTTCAGTGCCGGGCTTCTCTTTTGTGCGTCAGTTTGCGTATAGAAGTCATTATTTCTACTAGTCGTGAACTAATGTGACTTAGGTAGTTGGCCGTACCATTCAACCGAAGGACTCCTTTCATGTCAGTAGGGGGTGGCCCTTCTGTTATCTACATAAGCTTTTCTAGATCAACTTGCAATCCATCTAAGTTCAAAACGCGTCCGTGAAACCCGACCTCTGATTTGCCAAGCATGATTTCGTCACGTTTCAATTTAGTGTCCTTGTCGGCACGTCTCTGGCGAAACCGAACGAGATTAGGGTTGTGCTCTTCTGAATTGGAGCCAAAAATCAGTACGTCGCCAGCCACAGCAATCGTTCCTGGTAAATCTTCTAGAGATTATAACAGACGTTTTTGGAACATTTGCTTTGGGACCTTTAAACCGAATGGTAACCTAAGTCACAGGAATCTCTCGAATGGCGTACCGAAAGTCGTCAGAAAGCTCGATTCGTTATCTAACCCTACATGCCAGATTATGGGAACCAGCTCAATGTTTCTGAAAAACCATGCTATTAATGGAACTGAAAATATATCGTCTAATGTCGGTAGCCTGTAGTGCCCTCTTCTAGGAGCGGCGTTAAGCGATTTTGGATCGATAGGCAACCGTTGCTCACCGGACATCTTAGTAACAGTTGCCAACTGGCTGACCCAATGAGTTGGGGTCATCTGATCCACCCAACCCAAAGGTAAATCGAGCATGGAGAATGAAGTTGGTTCTGACAAAAATTTAGTTAGGGAAACATCTAAAATAACATAAAATTGGATCAATCATTCAGTAGAGGAAGAACGGCAACGGGGAGCCGTAAGCAGTGTGGACAATTGACGGGCCACTAGAGGCAATCTGTGTAGCTGAGGTAACACTCCGTGAACTCTGACAACTTCCCGCTGCCACCCACCTTGTGTGACAGCGCGTTACCTCTTCATATCCGCGCTCCACGAGACTAAACTGCATCAGTGTATTCCACTCGTAGCGAAGTATCCAGGTAACAGAATGACACGACGTGGACTTATCGGCCAGAATCGGTGAACCAGTTTGATAGTTCTACCACATGATCTGTTCGCAGCTGGTCACAACTAATAGCAGACCACTCATCCTTTTTCTTTAATATAAGAGGGAAATTGTGCATTTCTGATGACGGCACTGCGCGAGTTGTGTTGAAGTCTGTCACTTTATATTTTCTGACCAGCTGTCTGTTGAACTTTGACAGCATACACTGTTAAAGTCGAATCCTCCATATGTACGAAAGCTGCTTATGTAGGTGCAGCTAACTCATCGGAATATCGTTATGTCAAGTATTTCCTTTCGGTTCAACCTAGGTAATTGCCTAGTAGTTAGTGAAGTCGTCTTGGGCGAGCACAGCTAGACAGATTGCACCAATAGCTAACAACTCTATTTGTCATGATGCAGCCTCGCAGAAACTGGTCCCTTCGCCATATCTTCCTCCCTTCGGACAACTTATCCACCATTAAGAAGGTTCTGCTCTTGTTTAAAATCACCAACTGACTCAGTAGCTTCACCATACTCGATTTTGTTCAGCAGTTTGAACTTCCATTAACACTATCGAGGATGTACTTGTAAAAATGCCTGTGGTATTTAAGTGTCTTGGTCAACTGGGGTCCGTTAGATAAAGCATCATCAACCAAATCAAGACAATCGAGACGTAATTACTGATAAATTAGGATCCAGGTTGTGTCTCGATCGCAGAGTCACGAATCGAAACGTTTTTGTATAAACTATCATGAAGCAACAGAGGAGCACACTGAAAAAGGACAAGGAGGACAAGTCTCATAAAGAAGAACCGATGGAAAATTATTCAGCAATAAACCTCAACCAGGAGAAAATCACTCGAGTAACCGAAAGGCAAAATACGGAACTAAAATTAAGTACACGATGATTGTTTTTTCCTACTTTGCTTATTTGGGGACCAGAGTGCTATACCATTGTTGATTGCAGCAGATATTGGTAAGCGGATAAGAAGACACTTAACACGGCTGCCGCCTGAAGTTGCTCTTTAACGGACAAGCCTTTCAACCACGAACCACCCGTCAGAAATGTGAGGCAGTTCTGCCATTGCAGCATAATCGGTTTCAGTTGGTTTTTGCCGTCAGTCTTATTTCTACCCCGGCCACCCTCTCGTATGCCCCACATGAAATGTAGTGCAAATCTCAAGATAACGCACAATTGAAACGCAGACAGAAGTGCGGTCAAATCCGTTACTTTTGATGGTAAATTGACCTCTTTAAACTTCGGTGGTTTCTCCCACAATTGCGTCGATATACGTTGGTAGCACTCTCGGGATATAATGGGTTCCGGAAGAGATTCCAGGATGATCGACAACAGACGAACTAGTCGCTCGCTTGGCCATAACGTGGATCGCCGCACTCTCCTTCTTAGCTCGGGGTAAGAGCAAGTCGCAAGCATCAAGGCGTCTTCCAGTGTAAGATCAGATTCGCTGAGCGTTCCATATGAAGAGAACACCTGACGGTAATATCTCCTCTGCAACTCGGTTAAGACCACATCCACAATAGAAAGGACTGTGCTGTGTGATAAGTTAAAGTGTCTACTCCACTTTACCATAGCAGAATATGTAGGTGCTCTCACATATAACTCGATAAAACCTGTGGATGCTTCATTGACTCCTACAGATCTTGCCATAACTCTGCAAATATATTCCTGTGGTAACTGTGTGGGTAGCACCGTTGAGCGACAGGCATCAAAAACCGCTGGTTTACCACGGAAATTTGCACATTCCAGAATCCTTGAACCTGGACAAACACGTACCCATGTACGCTGCAGCTCCAGAGGACTGAGACCGATCCACAAATGGCCCTGTATATATCTTCGGCCATTTCTTTTCAAAGATTGGTGTGATGATATCTGGAGGCACCGTGACCACAAGGTTATCAGGGAGCATGCGATGGAACGTTGAACGGAGTCCCTGGCAACGCATATGTAAAATCCATCCTTATGTTGCAACGCTATCATATTGTGTAGTAGATCAGATTTTGTTTCGTCATTTCTGAACACTGTAACCCATTTCATTCGAAGTATGATAAATTTGTTTTCGTTTGAACCAAACTCAAATGTGATCGCTCTTGGTCTGATAGTCATCTTGGCGATTTCACTGTCCCCAGAGGCAAGTTGAAATTGTTGGCCGGGAGGAAAGGCGTCTGTAATTTTGCTACCAGCCAATTGAACAAGTAGAGAGAAGGACTTCTCAAATATGCTTGGTGGGCCGCGGGGTCTTTTTATACCCAGCGCCTGTTGAATACTCTCCACCCACTTATTCGTCACAGAAACATAAGGGTGGAAACATTGCAGGTTGCGGTTGGAATTTTGCTTGCCTCCAGAATCGGTGAGGTTCAGCATGAAACTTCTGGAGTCGAGTCGTTGTAGACCGCAGATGTGGAAGCAGGCTTGATCATCCTGACCGTTGTCACCTTTCAGCTTGTGGTGCATTCTATCTCGGTGTAACAATTCCAGTTGGCCAGTGGATGTTAGCAACGCCTTGGCCAAATGTCTGGGGCTCCAATAACATTGTAAATCCGCAGCGGTTGCGTGAATTTGATACTCGCGAGTGTACAGCCAACTAGATAACAATACGTTTCTGCGATCATTTGAGCAGTTCATTTCATGTAGATACGGTGAACATAGCACAGCGATTCGCAAGTTGAATGTGCTTCGAGCTGTGCTTAAAAACTACGTGTAATCACATGGTATATCGATCAATATTGCACGTGAGTGCTGGTATCACTGTGAGGCAGTTCATTTACAGATCAGCTAAGTGTAAATCCACGGGCAGGTACACGGTGCCCATATCAGTCGGAACGAAGGCCAAGAACCAACTGCCCCGATAAGATTTAAGCATCACTTCCGCACTAAAAATATCCCCAAGATTCAACTGAGCAAGTTTCACTCGAATGCTGTTTCCACCGCACCATTAGATAGGATCGTCAGCTCACACTGACCACCTATCCCTTTGACAGTAGATGGGTCTTTTGGGAACGAACCAATCGCTGTATTTGATCTCGTACCTAGGACGATCCCAGAGATACTGAATTACCATCAGTTCCAAAATCTTTCATGAACAATGAATGGTTAATAGTTGGCAGTTCTATGAGGTGGAAAGAAGGATGAGATTCGGTAACGCAAGGGGGAGACCAAGAATTAGGGAGTTGAAGAATGGAGAGTTCCCAGAAACACTCGTTGCTAACACTACACATAATGACCGGTTCCGTTCATGTTTGGACTTGTCAGCAAGATACGGCCAAAGCTAACAGTGGAAGTTTTGGCGTAGTGGTTGAGGACAGAGGACTCAATGTCTAAGTCAATGAGTTCCACGAAGAAAACTTATCATAACGATTAAAGATTCACTGGTGGGTTTTTGAGTAGCCACCGTGTTTAGTGTAAGGCATACGGTTTATATATATCGTTAATTATTGGTGGATTGGGTGGTGGATGATGCCGGTTGTCTGGCCGATGTGGTGCTTTGATGACAAGAGTTGTGCTTACTTCCGCGGATGAAACAGAAGCAGTTCTGTTCTCGACAGCTCATCTCCGGAATGGACACGGTTGCGTCCGCGTCCTTCAGGATATTCCGTTAAGAGAGCATGCATAGGCGAAGTACGACTTGTAAGACCAGCGGAAGGAATCTGTAATCAGGATCATACTTGTTCACGGAGCCCCCGAAGCTGGAGAACATGATAAGCACGAGACGACTACCCAAGACAAGTAGAAGTGGCGCTACATTCGGGAGACCATATTCATTGAAAACGTCGTAGTGCAGTCGCTCTCGAGACTACGTTGATCGCCAAGTCACGATGGATGCGGCTCGAGTATTCTGAAAGTTGTGCTTCAATCCAAATAGGTGTCAAGAACGGTACTGGAGTGCTGGTATGTGCATCGCAGTGGACCAACTTCTGAACTCCTTCTCAAGAGAACGTCATCCAAGCAAAAGCACAAGAGCGAGGAGTTAATATAACCAACTCCTGACAGATTCGGACAACATTACTCAGCTAGCTAACGAAACCGGTGGACACACCCCATACGTTACACACAAAGAGGTGAGCAAGGAGCAGAGGACTGAATCACTGGATCTGACAAAATTAACTGGTTAATGTCCCACCAAAAAAACGATTAGTGCGCGACCTTTCACCGGTCGGCTCAACATCACACCCAAAAAGCGCACGTCCCCCATCTCACTTTAGAGATCAAAGAAACTTTCCTGTGCGCACACCAACGCACTAAGTATTATGAACAAGTTTGCCGAACAGCCGCTACGTCAAGCGTCTTAGAACTGGGACCTCATTTTCCCAAATAAAAGTTTGTTACACACGGAATTTACCGACAATAGCAACAATGGTATACTATGGATACCAAGCCAAGGCTTGATAAATCCGTGGAATGGTTTGTGGGAATAATGTTGGTTCAAACTAGCTACACAAACGAGAAAAACGCATCTTTGGACCCACCATCTTATCCACGTTAACACAAAACCATCTCCGTCTACTCCGATTTCTTGGTGGTTGGTGAGAACAATGTCTGTCTTCGTCTTGTCGGCACTCAATGAACAGAACTCAGATCAAGTAATGTAGGCGGCGTAAACAATTGTCGAGTGCTTCTTTAAAATGGGTAGCGTGGGTGCAGAGATGACAACATTTGAAAGCCTGTTCTACGGTTGACAAATTTGAAGTGGAAAGTGATTCCAGGTGCAGCCCAGCCGACTGTATTGGGTCCGCGGTTTCAGTTTATGACCCTCTATCCTGTGTTTGGACTACATGTCAGGAGGCTGCGGCGTGACTGGGTTTTTCAAGATTTGGAATGTCAGGATGAAGTCACTCCGAAGATGACGATTTCTTCCGATGTACACTCCCAGGTATTTCAGTCGCAGCTGGTTTGGCATATGGAACAATCGCTTCAGATTTTCTCTGCCCTTAGCTGCACGGTCTCCAGTGCAGCCAGATCGCGTTTTAATCAGGGGTGACAGATGTGGATTCCGTTCTGCATGTGGGGTTCCACGTACACACTGAGGATCTGGGGAAAGAGAGAGGGATGGAACCAACCGAAAGCACTCCGTTTTGGACGCCTTCAATGACTGCGCCGAACAGCCGAGGTTGTCTTTCATCACAACCACAAAGTCGCGCTTCTGTTAAGTCTAAAGATGTGGTCTCCAAGCTTATGTACGTTGGTGGTCATGCAGCGGACATGCACAGTCCTGCGCTTGTCCGAGTTAAACGCAAGTAGGTTTATCTTTGACCATTCAAAAGCCCAGTCTAACTCTCGTTGCAGAATCCTATGATCTACATGATATCAGATCGCCCGCCATTTCTTAATGTCATCGGAAAAGCAGGAATGTTGACCCCATGACAAGCGCGAGATCATTGAGGATGACTAAAAACAAGTGCGGCCCTAACACTGACTCGTGCGGAACACAGCAATTCACATTAATTGTAGCAAAAAGGAACAGAAAATACTGGAACATGATGGTGCCGCTGAAGGAGGAAATCACCGACTCATCCAAGTATAGAGTTCCAAATCCCGTATGTTTGTAGTTTTTGAAGAAAGATGGGGTCATCCAAGCTGCCGAAGGCTTTAGAAAAGTCTAGGTAGCTGACATCATTGCCGATCCCACTGTCGGCTATCTCGGTCCAACTGCTAAGAGTGATCAGTAGGTTAGTAGTACATGACGGATGTTGAGGAAATCCGTGTTGCTCCGGTGGTATGATTGTAACTTGCCGATTAGTGTATTAGCTGAGGTCACCGGGAGAAGAATCACTGCGCGGTTGTGGACAGGCTCTAAACGGCTACCACCCTAGAAAATCTGAGTGATGATGCCCTGCTTCCACATGTTAGGGACCTGCAGTCCGTCCAGGCATCTTTGGAAAGATCTCGTGAATGACTCAACTATCCTCGTAACTGCCAACTGCAGTGGTTTTGGACGAACTATGGGTACTATGGGAAAGTATGAATACGCAACGATAGCATCTCCCTCAAAATGGTCGCTGAACTAAGAGTGACGTGTGTAGATACTGACGTTTAGGAGAATGGAACAGCTATGTTAAATATGCTGGTAGCATGTCTGAAAATTGGCGTATATTAGAGCCGTAGAAGGTTGGCTTCATCTTCGGCGGTTTGAGCATATTCATCCACTGATATTAGTGGGGGAACATCACGTTTCACATTCCGGCGGCTGTTGACATGTCTGTGCAGAACTTTTGGTCAGCATAAGAGGCTTGCCGCTAAGCTCTGTTGGTGGATTAATTTGTCTTCACGGACAAGTGTAGTACATTATATGTTTATTTACAGCAGTCTATAAGGTGACATTGAGTTACCGAGAAATCAAGCGGAACAAGATATAAAAAGTACAAATGTTAGAAACAGATAACACGTTTCCTGGCTTTTTAGCTTCTTTGTGTTTGTTTTCATATTGTAGCGAGAACGACACGACAGGGGGGTAGACGTTTATTGCACACCGAAAATGGGCACATGAGGGTCTCGCGCGCGCCATCGAATATCGACTAGATTTCCGTCCCACCACGCAACACAGGTACGGATGTTCGAGGCGAGCCAGTCCTTTCGCCTCGGGAGCTCTGACTTGGAAGATCCGCCTTCCTGTTTTCGCCTCGATCTCCGCTTCTCTGCACCCGATTTGGGTCGGCCAGGAGTCGTTCGAGAGCTCTTGCCTTGCTTGTTCTGGGCTGTGTCAATCGGCTCGGCCTCGGTGCTGTGGGCTGCGCTAGCGGCGTATTTGTCTGATTTATTGCGCTGTCCACATGTTCCCGCTCCGTAGTTCCGGGCCCAGGCTCGTCGCTAGCCGTCTTTCGCGATCCGCTCTCAGCTAGCTCCGAAGAGCTCCCCAGAGCCATTCTTGGAAGCGGCCCCTCTACACCCGCCCCTCCTCCAGGACCTTTCTTCCTCTCGTACCATGGTCGCAGGAGAGCAGCATTTACCCAACGTTTCATTCCTCCGCAGTCGATTAAGAAGTTGCCAGCTTTCTGGTCGATAATGGTGTAGGGGCCTTTCCAGCGTTCTCTGAACTTGCTTGCGCCCGGCCCGTCATGATCCGGCCGATCGTTGTTCCGTAACTTGACCCGTTCTCCAATCCTGAATGGCCTCCACTTGTGAGCCTCATGCCTGGCGTCATAATTTCGCTTATTCCGCGCTTGTCGAGCTTTGGTTTCGCTTCTAGCTTTCCATCGCAGTCGCTCTTGATGCTCAGCTGGATGTTTCCACTCACCCTGGTTCGGTAGGCAAGTATCGAGCGCAATCCGTGGTTCTCTGCCCAACAGTAATTCGAATGGCGAGACCTTGGTGGTTGATTGCATGCTGGTCCGATACGCGATCAGAACTTGAGGCAAAGCATCTTCCCATGCCAACTTCGTGCAGTTTATCCACGTCTTCAATGTCCGGTTGAACCGCTCGGTCATCCCGTTGGTTTGTGGGTGGTACGGTGAAGTTCGCCGTCTCTGGATGCCCCACTTGTCCAACACTGACTTAAACGCTCTTGACTCGAAGCAGGGCCCTTGGTCCGTGATGATACACTGTGGGATCCCATACCTTGCAGGCACATTGAATTCGAATACTTGCGACACTGTCTCGCCTGTTTGGTCCTTGATTGGTATGGCTTCCAC